CTTCACTTACCATGATTTTGCAGCAACACGAGTAGTGAATACCGAATTTTGAGAACAAAACTTTAGAGTTTGTTCAATTTCCTAACAAATTCTAAAGTTATGATAAGTTTCTGGGTTAGTTTAGCACTCAGGGGTTCTTAGTTCTTACAGAGTGCTGAGCAAAATTTCAGAGAATAAATGGCAGAAGAATGAGCCACTACATACACACACACTGTTTACTGTTTAACTTTGTACGGTTAAATACAGACTGTAGCTGTGATGATTTAAATGTAGCTTAGCCATAGTATAGTACAATCTCTTTGTTTAGAGCACTTTCCTTCTCTTACACCATAAATACGGTAGCAATGGGACATTGTTTGTGTAATAAACACATCACAATCGCTAGATCCGAATAGCTGATCGCTCAGCTTCGCTGGTGAAAATTCATCGTTGGAATCACTTTCTGAAAAATCTAAATTTTATTTATCATTATCAAAATTAAAAACATCTGACTGAAACAATGTCAGAGCTTCGGCCTCAGAAGGACGCATTCTCTGTCCTGTACTTGTGGTAGGAACATTGGTATTCATGGCACTCAAAAACGAACTTAGAAAATGCACTGTTGAGAAATTGTAGCTATGAATCCGATTAATTTACACACGCGTGGCTTTAGATATGGATGTTGCTAAAAGAAAATTGTTTAGAGTGACTTTCTCTGGATACTTTAATCATAGTTCCCAACATTTGAAACAAGTACATAGCCGTGTGCAAAGCAGTATGTACGGAACAGGATCGACGATGGCAGCGTTGTTTGGGCAAAACGGAACTTCTCAATCAATGCTTACACTGTTGCTCGGGCCTTAGAGAGTTAAGGCATTTAAAAGTAATCTCCAGTGCCGTCAGTCTGTTGCTTTTATGCCTATGGTACCCAATGTCATTTTACATTCCTCCATTTCCCTTTCAACTGTTCTCTATGTTTCCCTAGGTCATAAACGTCTCCTTTTTCCATCTACTGTGCATTTAAGAGCTGTCCTGTCCAAAGAATTCATCAGAATATTTTGACAACAATCTTGGGCAAGGAAGATGAATCCTGCTGGGGCTGGACACAATTCCTAGCTCATTGTTACTAGTTCTTTATTTATTTATAATTTTCTTAAAAATTGTTCTTGCTAAGCTGTAGTAGTGTAATCTATAATAGTAATTCATTTTTATGCTTAATATTTGTTTTTTGTTAAGATAAGGGCTAATTGTGTGTGTGATAATTACATTGTATTTTCATTTTCTGTGTTTTATATTTATGCTTTTAGTAAATAACAGTTTTTATTTAAGTATCCCTTATTATTGTATTTTTCTGTATAAAATATTCTGAAATATTTTATAATTTGTACTATTTATCATTAATAATTGCTGTTTATTATCTATTAATTTTTTATGCTATAAATTATGTTGAACAATGCATATTGTTAATCTATTTTAATTATCCTTGATCTATAATAATTCTTTTTCTACATTTTCAATAACTGCTGTTATTTGATTTCTCAACAGGGGATAATGCAGAACTTCTAGATCAAAGTATGGAAGTTAAGGATGGATCTCTTGTGAATAAGCTACTGGCAGATGTCCGTAGTGGATATTCTTCCAGTAGACTGAATGACGGAAACTTCTCTGTAACCAGAATGAGCAAAGTAAGTCTTAGCCCAGCTGACAAATCCAGCAGCCTGTTAGACATTACGGATGGACGCACCAGGCAGCAGAGGCTATCTGTTGGAAGTTCTGTGGAAGATCTCTTCTCCTCGTCTGATTCTCTTGCTCAGAAAGGCAACAGAAGAAGCTATGCTTTTGGTGATGATGAATCTTTGCTCAATTTCCTCAAAGACACTTCTGATTCACCCTCTGACCTCGACAAAGAGTCTCGGTTTGAAAGGTACTCCAGTCTGCGAAAAAAGCGCATGGAAAGAACTGGACGAAAAAGCAGTACTGTCGACGCATATGAATTTGGGCGTGAACGATCTTCGTTGACAAACCTAACAGATGTCGGCATATCATCCACACCAATCAGCTCCACAATTGCCGGTGTTAAAATGAGACAATCATCTAGTGCCAAGAATGACAGACCAAAGTCGGAAGTATTTTCTGACGATACAACTGATAATTATCCTCTTCGTCGTAGTCAGAGCTTCTTGGACAGATCTTCTCTGGACAGAAGACAACACTTGAAAGATGATGATGATGACGAATCTGAGGCTTTAATTAGACGTTTAAAACAAAAACTGGGTAGAGCTAGTGGTCGAGAAACACCCTCCATTAGTGAAGAGGCTGGTGACTTGGCAGGGAAGGAAATTTCAAACTCTTCACCTGCAGACTCAACTCCTTCGACAAGAAGACATTCCAGGTGGAGAAGTGGCATCGATGTTTCAGAAAACAGTTCTCCATCAACAAGAATGAGCAAATACAGCTTTAGTATGGAGAATATAACAGGGAGTAATTCTGACAAAACGTCTGTCATACAAAATGTTGAGAATAGTCTCCCTTCTGAAATGTCCACAAATTCCCAACCCAACTCTGACCTTGCTCAAAATCAATCATTTTCTGTTTCAATGAGGAAGCAGATTAGCAGCGTTTTTGGCACAGACATTGATGGTATACTAAAGACAATAGAAGACACAGGTCGACAAATTGACACAGTAGGTGTCACTGGTCCCATGAAAAGAAACCCAGAACCCACTGTCAGTAACAGTTCAGCTCAGCCACAAGTTGCTGTAGTTGCCCATGTTATGGCCTCAAACAATCCATCCAGCCCAATCATTGACAGTGATCTCAAAGGGAATAAGGGCAGCAAAAAAGCTGGTTCTACTGCTACTGTTAGACCCACACGGATTATGAGTGATTCCAGAAAAGACATTAAAAGAGTAAATAACACAAGCAATGGTATCAACAGGACTCGATCAGGCAACTTTATACGACGCTCTGCTTCTGTTCCAAGAACTCCACCACCACCCCAAGTTCGCTTGTGTAAAAGCACAATGAGAAGTGAGAATGAAAAGTCTGGAAATACTAGCACAAACAACAAAAAGGAAGTTGCTAAAACTGGCAAAGTTGAAGCAAGAAACAAAATGAAAGACAATGGTAACAAGACACATAATGGAAGTCGAGCAGCACAAGACAGCAGTACCAAGTCAGGTGACACAAATATGACCAATGAACTGGTCAACCTCAGAGTTCAGAAGTGCCCAGAAACATTGAATATTGATTCCACAAACACTTCAACAGAAACCCTTCAAGCAATTTCTCCAGTTCTTCAGCCACACAGCCTCTTAGACAATTCAGCAGATGACAGTGAGTCCTCAGTGGCAGCTATTGCCAAGTGGAGGATGAAGAGAGCTCAACAGAGAAGAAGTATGGGTGACATTATTGATGAAACTGACAACTCAGTCAGTTTGAACTATCCTGCCAATAGCTTGAGAAATGATGCAGGATCAAGGTTCAGCTTTGCCAGCTACAATGACAATGATGAAGGGTTTGAGACTTCTTCAGGCACAATGTCCCAGCGGACTTCTATGAATAGTGTTCTGGAGGCTGATATTCAGAACAATGTTGCTTTGTCACGGTTGGCAGGCATTGCCAAACAAAACAGTCCTGACTCTCCTAGTTCTGATATATTAAGTGATGTTTGCTCAGATAATGTTTTCTCTCCAGATAGTGAACAGGGAACATCAGGGACAGACACAATTCCCTCTGCATCATCCACCAAATCCTCAACATCTGTGAAACAAAAAGAAGCTTCAACTGTGAGGAAGCCAGCAAAGACAGTGCCAAGTTACATGCAGCCCACAAGCAGTTCAGCCAGCAGACCTGCTAGAACTAGAGTCTCCTCTACCACAAGTGGCGACTCTACAGCTTCAGTCCCTGTGATCAAACGTAATGTGCCCAGCAGATCATCAGTCAGAGACCAAGATCCTGGGCAGCCTCTGAAGCGAGATGCTGCTCGTGCTTCTATGAGAGCAGAATCTGCATCTGCATCATTCCAGAGGGGCACACTTGCACGAACTTCTGTTCGAGGTCCAAGATCTTCACTGTCTGTGTCCAACAGTTCATCAACAAACTCCATCGTTGCCCCTGCAAGCCCTGGGAGGTCCAGAATGGGATCAAGCTCTAGCATGTCATCTTTAGCCAGCAGCACATCCAATATAACTGTAGGCCATTCAGGTGGTTCTGAGACTACCAACAGGAGACTAGCATCCACCTCAAGCATGGGAGCACCCATCTATCGCCCTACCACCCCTTCATTTCGCTCAAAGACTCCTACACCTCAAACATCAGCCTTCAAAAAGCCACTGATTATAGTATCACAAACTAGAACATCAACAAAACCACCTCAGAAAAGTAATGATCCTTCAAGAACCCAAAAAGGTAATGATTCTTCAAGAAATCAGAAAAGTAATGATTCCTCAAGAACTCAGACTGTCAGAGCATCATCTGGACGTACCTCATTAGGCAGCACACCAACACTGAACACTGATGGCAGACGCAGTGTAATACCCTTTTCAAATGACAACAGTAGGAGCTCAACACCATCATTGGTAGATCGACCACACAGTACAACCCCGTTGATGTCTGAAAACAAGTCATCAAGAAGATCTTCGTTTATGGCCCCAACAGCTTCATCTCGAGCTAAATTAGATGAACTTTCATCAGCAGTTCCATCACGGACACAATCATTGACTAGCATAGTAAGCAACTCATCAATTACCCGCCAGGGAAGCCTGCGAGGGCTCAACAAATCCTCCACTAAAACTAGTGGCAGGCAATCCCCAGCTAGCACATTATTATCTCCCCATGGAAAGCCTGACCACTATCAGTCGTTATCAACTGTAGCTGAACAGACTGGAGATGAGGATAAGGAAGATGTCTCCATCAAAAGATCTCCATCCATCATGAAAAAATTGATAGGAAGAGCAAAAGGTTCTTACCCTGTGTCAAAAACAGCAGCAAAAACAGCAGTGGCAGCAGTAAAGAAATAAAGAATATGCATCACATGTTTTAATCTACATTTTTTTGTTTTATGAAACCCATGACCAAAGACTCTGTGGTCTGCCACAGAAAGCATCACTTTGGCTGCAGGGCTACTAGTACTTGGTGAGTCTAGTAGTTTCTGACTGCTGCTTCGTGGACTTCCTGTTTGTGGCTTTGGCACAACTGGCAAATGGCCAAGTTGCCATGGAGTCGTGTGGTAACTGTTACAATCATAATCTCCAGAAACATGTTAGTGGTCGCAGAGAAGAGCCACAGCTTTGATGGTGGCTTTTCTAGAGTGTTTAATTGAACATTCTGTTGTGAGTAAACCGTACAGGATTCTCCAAAGAGGATATTAAAAACTGGATGCTTCTTGTAGGATACTCTACACAGTCCACTGTTGCTATGACAGAAAGACTCATCAGATACTCTGCAGTGAATATTATTGAATACACAACAAAGGATACTCAGATTTTCTAATGGATACTCCATGGATATATCATATGGATATTCTGGATATACTTTAGAGATAAGACATAGTGGCTAGAGTGTTTGCTTTCTGGTCGTGTGTTGAAATCCTCACTATGGTAATAATTGAACAGGTTACCTGGAGTTCCTAGCTGATCCAGTCAATGATGAAGTGCTAATTGTTATATAACAAGTTTGTGCTAGCACTATATACCCAGTGTCTTCGAGATTTGAGTGAAACGAGTGAAGTGACACAAGTGAATTGATAAATCACGCAGCGCTTGCCAACAGACTTAAGTCTTTGTCAAGGTTTTAACTTCACTGCAATCAGGTTTCCTCATACTTGCTCCGTTCCTGTGCCAATGCAAATCAAATGAAATGTCCCCCACTGTCACATTTGAAAAACTGGTGAACAAACAGTTACTTCCAGAACAATTCATCTAGAAATATGCGCACACAGTAAATGCAGATAGCAGTTGCTAGAGGCGCCAAAGCCAACAGTCGCCACCAGCAGTTTGTTGTTGATAGAAGTAGTCGGGTACAATAAGTTGGCTATACACATGTAGAGCCACCACATAAAGTATTTCACAAGCTCATACATAAACTGGCTACCAGCAATATAAAGTACCATGACACAACCGCTGCACAAATTATAGGCATTCTACATGAAAAAATACAGCTCACAGGGCTGCACCAAGCACTAAACTCAGTAGCTCAGGCAGCAAAACCTCAGACTACTGTCCATATGAGGAAACTGCATTAGCAAAGCACTGTCGGAAGTAAAATACCTTTGAAGCTTAACCTTCTGCTATGCCTACTTCTCCCTTTTGTTGCTGACGGAGTTCCATCCCTTCAGCATGCTTATCCCTGATATGTACAGTTTAGCTGGCAGAGTTAGGGAACTTGAGCTCGTGACCATAAACTGTTGCAGGGAACAAAGTGACTGCTGTGACATCAAAAAGTTGTCCCCGTGACATAATAAGGCTCCTGTGACATCATAAAGATGTGATCACATAAAGTGATAAGTGTAACATAAAGTGACCACAACTTAACATATCTCAGAAACATGTCAGACATGGCCATCTCTGGTAGACAAGAGTATACAGTGTCTAGTATTGGCAATCCAAGTTACCTAGCTGCAGAAACCAGTGCTGTAAGCAAACAGAAAACTGTGTTAAAATTCTAAAGACTTATTCACTTGGAAATAAATGCACAATTTCTATACTTTGAAAAGGTTGAAAGAGAAATTGTTAGAAAGGATACACAAGCAGAATCTGGTTTAAACTCTTTGAGTCCCAGGGGGTTTAGCATCAGAGGCCCAAGGAGTAGTTAAGAGAGACCTAAAATCGGCGCATCTTGCGTTTATTGGGCCTCCAGGTAGGAACCTATGAACGTAAGGTGCGTTCCTTGGGACTCAAAGAGTTAAGCGAGCTGTGAATGTACACTCTGTGAATACACTAAAAACACACATATCAATGAAGTAGAGGCAGCTATTAGTGATAAATAATTTTTTTGTTTTGTTTTAAAGGACCTTACAAAGATTAGCTACAAGTGTGAGCCATTGTTGGATCAAATATTTTTTTCTGTGTTTTTTCATTCACTGTGCAGTCTGTTGTTTCTTGCTTTTCAGGCAGATGCACTCTGACTCCAGAGGAAAAAAATAATCATCTCAAGGGTGACTGCAGCCATTCTAAAACTTTTTTATAGGACTCTCAGTTTAAGATATCTGAGCCTTTGTCATTTAGCAGAAGGTTTGAGCCATGAACTTTCCTCACTGTACGGTGGCCTTTTTAAAAACTTTGTCACCCATACTCTACTGGTAGGCTGACAAGTGCAAGAAGTTGTCTGGACACTGCATCTCTGGGAACTATGAACTCCAAGATCCCCTGTCATCTCTTAGTCTTGGTCTTTGTCAAGGTTTCAACTTTACTGCAGTTAAGTCACCCCAACCACTGCTCTGTTCCTGTGCGAGTGCAAATCAAATGAAATGTCACACACTGTCCTATTTGAAAAACTGGATAACAAACAATTAGTCCCGGAACAATCAGAAATATGTGCACGCAGTAAATGCATATGGCAGTTGCTAGAGGTGCCAAAGCCAACAGTCACCACCAGAAATGCAGTTTATCGTAAATGGAAGAAGTCGGGGCATGATAAGTGGGCTATACACACATAGAATTATTGCATAAGGTATATCACCAGGTGTTAAGTATCTTTGTGTATGCACATGTAGATCAAATTCCCTTTACATGGTAGGTAATAAAACCTAAGCTTTAAAAAAATCCAATCAAGTAATAGCTTAAATGACACTATTTAAGCTGACAAGAATTAAATCCTTGAAATATAATAAAATAAACAGAAAACATTGGCTTTAAAACTACTATGGAGAAAGAAATAAACGTTAATGAGGAAAGATTGGAGGTTGTGGAAAATTTTGAATATCTTGGGTCATTGATTACCAACAATGGTGACACAATAAAAGAAATTAAATGACGACTATCAATTGCTCTTTAAAGATTAAAACAGCTGAATAAATTATGGAGTGGGACAGACAGAATTACAAAAGCTAGATTTCTAAGAGCAGGCTTCACTTGAAATGTCAAAAAAATTGAGAGAGAACAAACATGGAGGGGTATATGCCTGGGAAGAGAGGAAGAGGAAACCCAAAGAGAAGATGGGTGCAGGATGTGGTAAATGATCTCCAGATGGGTGTATCGGACACGGGACATCTTGCTTGTGATTGAGAAGTTTTTCAGAAGGTTGTTGTTGTTGTTGTTGTTATTGATCCAGCGGCACATGAGCTTTCGCTCTTTGGCCCAATGCCTCCAGATGCAGGGGGTAAGAAGTGTTGGTGTAGTGGGTAGTGGTCCCCCCCCCCCCCCCCCCCCCCCCCCCCCCCCCTTACTTTACCCTAGGTCTAGTGAATATCTATTCATGAAAAGTGAAAAGAGCGTCCATTGCGGTGTCAGCTTCTTGACCTAGCATAACCTTTCTTACCCCAAGACCATAGTGCGTGGCAAAAAGCCACACCCTCCCAGAGGTAGTCCTGGTAACTGGGGGTGCGAATCCCCAGGCAAAACACAATGGATCTAGCGGAGCAAACTTTGATAAAAAATCCGGTGCACCATACAGTAGTGCCCCCTGTGGGAGGGAAGGAGCCAGAGGGGTGCTGAACAGTCTTAGGAGTGGAAACAAGTATGCTAACCCTCTGAATACTGGAAACTGTCGTGAAGGCACAGGGACTCAGGACATGACGATCCAGTTGCCCCAACTACTCATGCTTAGGCCATGCTTTGAGCCATGAAGAGCTCAGCGAAACCTGCAGGCAATCTGGTGGCAGAGAATGAGCACACTGTGAGCCCCTCCCTAGCTGTTTGTCAAACGGGAAGGCAGAAACACAATCCATATTTCCTTTATAACTGGTACAGGGCATTTCTGGCTGCTGTCCAGGGAGGGATGTAATCCACAGACACCCGGCTGACTGACTGACTTTCTACCCCACCAGGACATCACACAAGCGACAAACACCCAATGACACAAAGCGCCACCAAGTGGATGAGGATTGCCGTGGAGAGGTCCCAGAAACCGCGTTCAGACAATTGGCCATTTTATGGCCTGCCTATATTGCGGCCCCCAACAAATTCCATGGTGGGGCTTCAAACAAAAAAAAAATCTGTCCTTAAAAGGACGAAACTGGATATAATACTATCCACACTCGACACAGACACCCCAGCACCACAATGCCATAAACATGAAAGAGTCAGAAGGTTGTTATAGGAGCAAGGTTCTGACTGACTGACTGAAACATTGGATGGGAACATTGACTACATAAATGTATCATCACTAAGGGGCAGGACATTTTCTGGGAAATTTCTAGGCACATTGTGAAAGAATGATAACAGCAGTGCTTGAAATCAAAGCCACAGGAAGAATTGTTCTTCTTAATTTTTTTTTTATATTTTGTAAGTAAAGGGGCACAATACATTGTTGACAGCCGTAATGGAGTGAAGAGTTATGGGAAGTGTATAAGAGGGATAGAGGTGACATTAGAGGAAAGAGAGCATTTTGGGCTAAAAAAAGCATATTTTTGGAATACTTTCTGAAAATAAAGCAAAGAAAATATTGAAGATTCAAGGCCACTGACTTTCACTACAAACATGTCTTTAGCAACTGACACTGATTCAGGAAAATGTTTGAGTGGATAAACAATTTGTGATCAGTATTTTCTTCTGCAGTTTCGTTTTGTTAATTTTCAAGCTAGAAGATCAAGCTGACATGATATCCAGTTTCGTCCTTTTTAGGATGAAACATGAAAACTATAGGCAGCCATAAATTGCCAAATGTCTGAACGCGGTTTCTCTCTCCCGGCAACATGGTGGCACTTTGTGTCATCGGGTGTTATCGCTTGTGTGATGTCCATCAGTCAGTCATCAAGCTTGAACTTTTCAAACATGAAAACTGTCAGATTTTGAAGCCTTCTCCACCAGGCAACATGGCATACATTCCAAAATTATTTTAGAATAACAATTCATTAAGTCTC